AGATCGTTTATTTTATCATTTTTTCCCTCCAACCTCGATGAGTGCCAATATTCTCCTTCATCATATCACAAACGACCATAAGGAGTTTATACTGTATATATGTATATAGAATATCGACTTCGGAAATGTGCCCTCTTTCCCTCTTTTTCACATCTTTACAACCTGACCATATGCCCCCTTCGTTTATTCACGAAAACTAGTTCAAAAAATCACAAAACTCATCTTCCTTGGACCAAAGATACCAGATGTTCCTTCCGGTATTACATATTTAGCAATAAAAATGGATTATCTCTAAATTGGTCCAATTTCCTTTTGTTAAAAGTCGCATTTTCATATACATATGCTTTTTTTATTTATTTTCTTAAATATATTTAATATTTATTATTTTTTACTTAAAAGGAAGTAAAATTTAAGTATCAATTTATCAGCGTTTAGATTTTAATTCTTTTTTAAATAACAATTTTTGGATTCGTACTTGAACTTTGGAACGTGCAAATTTAAAAAAACTCCAAAGTTTGGCTGCACTTGAACTTTGGAGTGTTTATATATTAAAAGTACCATAAAGTTTGGATACACTTGAACATTGAAACGTTTAACGTTAAAAGCGCTAAAGTTTGGATGCACTCGGATGCACTTACACTTTGGAACGTTCAACGTTAAAGGCGCACAAATTTTAGATGCACTTGAACTGTAGAGTGTTTAATGGTAAAGGCACCAAAGTTTAAGAGCACTTGAACTTTGGAACGTTCAAATTTAAAAACTCCAAAGTTTTCAAGCACTTGAACTTTGGAACGTTTAACGTTAAAGACACCAAAGTTTGGATGCACTTGAACATTGAAACGTTTAACGTTAAAAGCGCTAAGGTTTGGATGCACTTGAATTTGGCAACGTTTAAAATTTTTAACTTCAAAGTTTGGATGCACTTGAACTTTGGAAACGTTCAACGTTAATGGCGCCAAATTTAAGATGCACTTGCACTTTGGAACGGTTAACGTTAAAGGCGCCAAAGTTTGGATGCAGTTGAACGTTGAAACTTGAACTTTGGAAACGTTCAACGTTAATGGCGCCAAAGTTTAGATGTACTTGCACTTTGCAACGTTTAACGTTAAAGGCACCAAAGTTTGGATACAGTTGAACGTTGAAACTTGCACTTTGGAACGTTTAACGTTAAAGGCACCAAAGTTTGGATGCAGTTGAACGTTGAAACTTGAACTTTGGAAACGTTCAACGTTAATGGCACCAAAGTTTAGATGCACTTGCACTTTGGAACGTTTAACGTTAACGGCACAAAAGTTTGGATGCAGTTGAACGTTTAACGTTAAAAGTACTAAAGTTTGGCTGCACTTGAATTTCGCAACGTTAAAAATTTTTGTCTTCAAAGTTTGGATGCACTTGAACTTTGGAAACGTTCAACGTTAATGGCGCCAAAGTTTAGATGCACTTGCACTTTGGAACGGTTAACGTTAAAGGCGCCAAAGTTTAAAGGCACTTGAATTTTAGAAAGTTTAAATTTAATAACTCCTAGGTTTCGATGCACTTTAACTTTGGAACGTTTAACGTTAAAGGCGCCAAAGTTTGTATGCACTTGAATTTAAGTAAGTTCAAATTTAAAAGCGCCAAAGTTTGGAGGTACTTAAACTTAAGAATGTTTAAAGTTAAAGTAGTAGACGGATATTTGATAGCCATTCGTTTAATTATAATTTCGATATTTTTTCTAAATCTTTTGTTTCCTTTTTTTTATTGAAAATAGAATGGAAAAATGTTTATAAATTAAGAAGCGAATTTAAAATACGCAAATAAAACTGCGTTATATAGTATTGAAAAAATGTCAAATTTGTCTGAATAAAAATAAATGTGATTTTATACGATTTCCGAATTGATCGAAAGATAATAGTGAAAAAAAAAATGATTCACCGAGATTTTATATATGATGCAAATTAGTTGATTTTTCACGTATAGATATAGATCTAAAATTTTTGAAATATACTACAGCGGCAGAGATTCTTTTCACCTGCACGTTATTTAAACGCGTAACCCGATCCGCAGACAAATTGACCACCGATTTTAGAATTTGCAAAATCAAATATAGATAGTATGATAAATTTCTAAAATTGATATTTTGACAATATTATCAACAAAATCGCAAATCTAAACTAAATTTATTTAAAAAAAAAAAAAAAAAAATGATTTCACATTGACATTAATAATGTCTGCGTTTTGAAATAATAGTAAATCAAAATTCTCATAATATATTTATAAAACTCGTATAATTCTTTATAGATTATAAATTTTCTGAAAGTTCAGAGGTTCTAGAAGAGATGGCGTTAAAAAAAGGTTATATGGTTTACATTACATTCCACAGCCGAAGTTTAAGCTGATACTGTGTGTCCTAGGACGAAGGACAAAGCATTCTATATCTTTGTGCCGGGGCATTTTACATGTATATAACACTGTGACAGTTTATCCTTGGTAAAACTAACAATGTCATTTTTATGTTACGAACATTCAGAGAAAGTGCTTGACTCACAAATAGAATTTTACTGCCTTGACAATATAATTTATTACATTCTGCGAATAAAATTCAATTCCCTCGCTCATATAAATCTACACTATATACGAATTAGCGAATCAAAAATAAATCATTTCCAAGATTTTTTTCTTCTTTGAATTGTTCTTTGAATTTAGAAAATTTTATATCTTTTTTTGAAGATAGATATATTTTTTCAAATTTTATGCTAATTTAAACAATTAGTCAATCTAGAGGAAGAAAAATGACTATATACATGTGTCATAGTTAATAAATTCAAACAAGTCTATATATTCATCGTGAAATGAAAAAAAAAAAAAAAATATTTGCTGTTTCAATCAATATAACAAATTAGCAAATATACTTTTTATTCCGATAATGTACATATGGAAACAACTCCATCAATCATTATTTTTAATCACCTGTTACTCATTAATTGTAACTGATAATCTACCCCTTTCAGTTTAGTGTCGGACGATAAAAATAGATATTATTTTCGCATATATACGCCTCGTTACCAGGAAAGTGTTTGATATCCCTCATTTACATTCCTTCGTGCTAAATTACATTTCGGTTTCGCGCGTTCCAACTATTCGAGCGCGAGGATCAACTCATGCTAAATATATTGCGGTTGAGAAAAAGATAGATCGAAAGGACTCGCAAAACCGTGAGTGTGCACGTATATATATACACGCATATATATATAGAGAGAGAGAGATTGAAATATTTAAGTTGACCATCCCATAAGTCTAAGGCACACAAGTAAAAAATAAATATTTGATTTCCGTCGAAGAGTGTTTGATGTACTTCCAATATATATACATAGAAAAAAAGAATGTGATTTCAAATTAATACTCTAAACATTTTAAATTAATTGTTTGTTGAAATTAATTTTACCTTAATTCGAATATTAGAATCGAATTGAAAATTAAAGAAATATTTAAATTTAAACTTTGAATAAGTTAAATGGAAATTTTTTGTGTATTTAATTTTTAAATGTAGAAATTGCCCTGTCAGGGCCCTAGTAGGGAATGAAACACCACACCCGATCAGGGCCCAGATCGGAGCCGGATCAGGCTGCCTTATTAGGGAATGAAACGCTGCGCCTGATGTGGCCCCGATTAGGAAATCCACATTTTTCTTGTCGCCCTGACCCGTGTAGAAATTGCCCTATCAGGGCCCTAGTAGGGAATGAAACACCACACCCGATCAAGGACAAATCCCAGTGTATACATTTTGCCAGGGCTCAGATCGGGGCCGGATCAGGCTGCCCTATTAGGGAATGAAATGCCGCGCCTGATGTGGCCCTGATTAGGAAATCCACATTTTTCTTGTCGCCCTGACCCGTGTAGAAATTGCCCTATCAGGGCCCTAGTAGGGAATGAAACACCATACCCGATCAGGGCCCAGATCGGGGCCGGATCAGGCTGCCCTATTAGGGAATGAAACGCTGCGCCTGATGTGGCCCTGATTAGGAAATCCACATTTTTCTTGTCGCCCTGACCCGTGTAGAAATTGACCTATCAGGGCCCTAGTAGGGAATGAAACACCACACCCGATCATGGGCAAATCTCAATGTAGAAATTTTGCCAGGGCCCAGATCGGGGCCGGATCAGGCTGCCCTATTAGGGAATGAAACGCTGCGCCTGATTAGGAAATCCACATTTGGCCCTGATCAGGTGTGGCGTTGCGTTCCCTACTAGAGCCCTGATAGGGCAATTTCTACACGGGTCAGGGCGACAAGAAAAATGTAGATTTCCTAATCAGAGCCACATCAGACGAGGCGTTTTATTCTCTAATAGGGCAGCCTGATCCGGCCCCGATCTGGGCCCTGGCAAAATTTCTGTACATACCCATGGAGAAATTTTGAAAGGGCCCCGGCAGAGCCCAGATTGGGAAGCTCCAAATTCGCATAAAACAGAGAACCCAATCAGGGCTACAGAAGAAGCCCTATTTCAGTCCAATTAAAATCGACTAAAACCAGGGCCCGACCAGGGGCTGCTTTGGCCCTGGTCGGCTTCTCTGTTTCAACCAGGTCAGGGCCAAGTTGGCGAATTTCTGCATTGGTAGTATTAAAAATTAATATTCAAAGTTCAAGTGTTTTTTTAAACAATTAGTAATTGCATTTAAATGAAAAATTTTTATCTATAGAAAACAATTTAGAATTCCTTAATTCTTGAATGTAAGTATTTTATTGTTTTGTCGATTAAAATATTTAAAAGCTGGTTGATCCTAAGCCTTTCGAGGAATATATATATGCATATATAAAATAAGGACATGCAGCCGGTCAATGTAGGTCCGTGTTTAGTTCGCTGCTATGTGACAGGCCAGTATATGCATTCTGGCATTCGTGGGCGTACTGGCCCGGCGACTAGTTCAGACTAGTTTGGAGTGGGAATCGACTCTCCGTTGCTGGTGGCGGGAGTATAATTTGTGACGGTAGGGATTTTGAAACGATGAGGGAGTCGGGAGAGAGAAATACAAGCAACAAGAAGGAAAGAGAAAGAGAGAGAGAAAGAGAGAGAAATTCGCTGCCAGTCATGCAGGGAGCATGACCGTCGGCTTGAATTCAAAACCCCAGCATCGCCGACTAGTAGGAACGTTGAGTCAGTCTTAGTCAGTTGCTCTCCGATGCTCGTGGAGGAATGTTGTGTACAACAACCTTCTCTCCCGGAATAACACGCGCGCTAAAAGCAAATTCAAACAAAATCTATTTTATTATTTAACAAATTCTTTCAAGGATTTAAAAATATTTTCAGTGTTGTTCGCAAACAAACAAAAATTAGTGTTATTTCAAAAAAGGATATCAGTGATGATTGTGTCGGTTTGTGCTATTTAAATCAGTGTTAAAATTCAGTGTTTAACTCTAAATGGCACCAAGTGTTTAGGAAACAATTGTGCAGAAACCGAAGTGGTTTAGTGACAATGTATGCGTGACAAAACTTTTTTTTTTAATTTGGAAAAAATTAATTCCAAGTATTCTATTCACGGTGATGATCAAAAAGTTTTGCAAAAATGAATCTTGGACGAATAGTGATGTTGATATTGAGTGTGGGAATGGTTGCCGGTCGCAGTATCAGCAGTTTGGAAGCGCCAAGAGGTTGCAGTTGGCAAAAAGAGGGAAAAGAAAGAACCCTCGTTTGTCGTTTAAGGACCATTGCTAATGCACCTGCACTTGTTGGAAATCTTTCATCGGCACAATCCGATTCCATTATGTCATTGCAATTAGAATGCAACGAGGCATTGTTCTTTGAAAGTCAAATGAATGATGAACCGCGCGGCTTTCTGGCTCCACTTTCACGGCTTGAGAAACTTCGTATGGAACATTGTAAAATCCGCTATCTACCTGGTGGTGCATTTGCATCAAGTCACAAATTACGAATTCTTGAAATTCGCACGCATAATAGTGAATGGTCAGCGACATCACTTGACATTCATCGTGATGCATTGCAGGGTCTATTAGATCTTGAAAGATTAGATCTAGCTGAAAATAATATATGGACATTGCCAACTGAATTGTTTTGTCCCACGCGAAACCTCGCCAGTTTAAATCTCACGAGCAACAAGTTACAGGATATACCATCGCTTGGCTTCTCCGATTGGGAATCATCGTGTCCATTACGTTTGAAAACATTGGATTTAAGTAGAAATGACATTAGTGCCTTGCCCGATAATTGTCTAAATAGTCTTCGTAATTTAACTGTACTTAAATTGCAAAATAATAAAATTGCCGCCGTTGGCGATAATGCACTAAGTGGATTGATTAATCTCAAATCACTCAATATGTCAAGTAACAATTTAGTTGCATTGCCACCGGATCTATTTTCATGGACAAAGGATTTAAGAGAAATTATATTGAGCAATAATTCACTCACTGTATTGGCCCCGGGTCTATTGGAAAATTTAGAGCAACTACAATCACTTGATTTGAGTAATAATAAATTGACAAGTCATTGGGTAAATCGTGACACTTTCTCTCGTCTTATGCATTTAGTTTTTCTTGATTTATCCTATAATGCATTGACAAAGATTGATGTTCATGTTTTTAAAGGATTACGCAATATACAAGTGCTTAAACTCGAGCATAATGTGATTGAAACACTTGGCAGTAAGTGTTTTTCATCACTTGTAAATTTACGTTCACTAACATTGTCGCACAATAAAATATTCACATTTGATGCATCACATTCAGTTGGATTGTCAAGTCTTGAACAATTGTTCCTTGATGACAATAGAATACGTGGAATTGAGGGACATGCGTTTAAAAATTTAAGCAAACTTCAAGACTTGTCGTTGAGCGGAAATGCCCTGTCGGATGTGCCGGAAGCAGTGCGAGAATTACAGTCGTTGAAGACCCTTGATCTCGGTAACAACCGCGTGTCTCGGATCGATAACGAGTCGTTTGTTGGATTAAACGAGCTTTATGGATTACGTTTAGTGGATAATAAATTAGAGAACATTTCGCGTAATGCATTCGCGTCATTACCATCCCTTCAGGTATTAAATCTTGCGAGTAATATGATTCGTCATGTGGAACCGGATGCATTTGCCAAAAATACGGTTATGCGCGCTATAAGATTGGACAGTAATCAACTTACGGAAATTCGCGGTGTATTCGCTGGACTGTCATCTTTAGTATGGTTAAATATATCGGACAATAAATTACTTTGGTTTGATTATACTGATGTGCCACCGAGTTTAACATGGTTGGATATGCATGCCAATCAGATAAATAAACTCGGCAATTATTATGCCCGTCAGGATAATCTTCAAATAAAGATGTTGGACGCGAGTTATAATTTTATCACCGAAATATCAGACATTAATATACCAAATAGCATTGAAACATTGTTTTTGAATAATAATAAAATTAATAAAATTGCAGACGGTACATTTTTGGATAAAACAAATCTTGATAAAGTTGTGCTCTATGGTAATGAGATTCAACATTTGGAGGTAGCTGCACTTGAATTACAACTTGTGCCAGGAAATCGTCAAGTGCCATCATTTTATATTGGCAATAATCCAATTTTATGTGATTGTACCATGGAATGGTTACCGCGTATAAATGAATTGGCAAGATTACGGCAACATCCACGCGTTATGGATCTTGATTCGATTACTTGTGAAATGGTACACGCTCGCGCATCACCACGACGACCACTCTTGTCACTCAAGTCTAAAGATTTTGTTTGTCGATATGAGGCCCATTGCTTTGAATTGTGTCATTGTTGTGATTTTGATGCTTGTGATTGTGAAATGACATGTCCGGATAATTGTTCATGTTATCATGATCACAGTTGGTCAAGTAATGTTGTCGATTGTTCAAATGCCGGTTATCGATTTGTGCCCGATCGTATTCCAATGGACGCGACTGAGATTTATCTCGATGGAAATGAATTGGGTGATTTGGGTAATCATGTGTTTATTGGTAAACGTCATCTTGAGGTGCTTTATTTAAATAATAGTGGAATATCATCGATTCATAATAAGACATTTAATGGTGTTGAATCGCTCAAGGTTCTTCATCTTGAGAGTAATGGATTGCGTGAGCTTAAGGGCAGTGAATTTAATCAACTTGAACGTATGTCTGAACTTTACTTGGATCACAATGCCATTGCAATGGTGGACAATGCGACATTTAACAATATGAAGAATCTCGAATTGCTCAAGTTGGACAACAATAGAATTGTGGACTTTCGACCATGGGATGCTTTAACCGATGCTGGACATGGAGCCGCGGTATCACTTGAGGGTAACACTTGGAGTTGTGATTGTGGTAATGCTGCACGATTGCGTAGATGGTTGGCGTTACATCAGGGCGATCCGGAGAAAATGTATTGTAAAGACGGTACGGAAACTCTTGCTGAGGCTTTGAGACGTTGCGGTGATCCATCCACGGAGGCTGTGACACATGGCATTCAAGAAGGTCCATTAGTTGGAGGGAATTTTGTACCTCTACTTGCTGGTGCTCTAGTCATGGTAATTGCTGTTTGTCTCTTTGTTGCATTGGCATTTGCTTTTCGTCAGGATGTTCGACTTTGGGCACATGCACGTTATGGCCTGAGGCTTGGCAAGGTTGCCACACCACCTGAGGAGGAACGTGATCGACTTTACGATGGTTATTTTATCTACAGCGAGAGGGATGAGGATTTTGTTTCACGTTATTTGGCTGCTGAACTCGAGCAATCGGGTCTTGCTCTTTGCTTACATTGGCGTGATTTACCACCGTCGAGAACGCAGGAGACATTACCGTCAGCAGCGGCCGCTGCACGACGTATAATCATTGCATTTTCGCCAGTATTTCTCACGAAGGAATGGCAGAATATTGAATTCCGCACGGCTCTTCACACAGCCTTGGAGAATATTCGACCTGCTTCGAGACGAAGACGAATTATCATTCTCCTGGCAACGGAGGCACCACTTCGTGATCCTGAATTACAACTTCTTTTGCAAACGTGTACAGTGATTGTTTGGGGTGAGAAGAGGTTTTGGGAGAAATTGCGTTACGCAATGCCTGATTCAGCTGACAAAAGGCGAGAAACAAAAAGTGCAACGTCTGAAAGAAATCGCATTCCGGCTAGATATACGGCAGCTCCACTTGCCGCTGATGCATGGACAAAACCAGTCAACAATCTTTTGGTACCAATTCATGCGCCAACACCAACACCTACACAGTCAACGTATATGAGTTCTGCATCCAGTAGAACTGAGGACGAGGACAGCGGTGCTGAACATCAACATCACATCAACAGTGATTACAGTGCATTGCATGGTAGCAATGTTCAACGTCCTCCCAGCCTCTCGTCAAGGGGCAGTCATCTTTACAGCACCATTCCTGAACTTCCGGTACTCACGTCGCCCTCATTTGGTAATTCATCGATCCCAATGAATCCTCGTACTTATTTTGTTTAATTTAATAGGAATTTTTTTTTATTGCATAATTAAAGCATAAATTTTGATTTCTTTAAAAAAATTGTTCGAGGCCAAAAAGAAATCACGAGAATTTGTAAAAATAATTTCTTTTTTGTAAGTTGTTTCTCTTATGGTTAAATTTTATTTTCTCTCTCGAGACAATAAATGTTGGGCCGTTGTTATGTTCCTTTGTCATTATTTTTCGAGAATTTTTGGTTGTTTCACTCAAACGTAAATGCACACTTGACTGAATGAATTAATGTTCGCTCAGAGGCTTTACAGTTTTGTACAATGCATTATTGTTTCACCGCTACCGCGCGCGCAGAACCGAGAACAAAATGAGAATGTAATTTTCTCATTAATTTTCTTTCTCGAAAGTGGAATTGCTTTTCAACAAGATCTCCCTTCTACGAAAGATATATATACATGTATATCTTGAAAGCTTGAGTAAATTTTAGACTATAGATGATATTGAATCTTTTGTTTATAATTCTCTTTTGTGAAGACAAGATCTTATCGAAAAGGAATTTTAGCCGGTTCTCTATTTACATGAAATGCTAAAAAAGCTTTTGTAACAATTTCAACTAAAAAAAAACGAGTAAAAATCATTTTCGGGTTATTTTAAATGTAATTGTTACATTAAAATGTAATTATAACATTTAAACTAATCTTCAAGGTGCAAAATACTTGAAAAAAATCTCGTATTTCAGAAACAATCGCTAAAGATATGATTTTCGTAGAATTAAATTAATGAACTGAAAACGATCTTTAGCATATGATTAATGTCCAATAAGCAAACAATGTGTTAAAATTAGCATAAATTTTCGTGTTTTTTTTTTCGTCGTATTGTAAATAATGGTGAGTCAAAATTAATTCATCTAAAATCGCACACACGACACAAAAATATATATGTGTGTATATATTTAACCGGTTTTGCGGTTTTTATTCAAAGAATTAATTTCGACACCTATAAATTCTTTTTTCCTCATATTTAAAATGCCTGAATCGCATAAATTTAATCAATTTAATCGACATCAAGTTACGAGAAATGATTACCAAATTTATAGCGTATAGAACGTTATGTGAGTGCTTTATTGTATTAAAAAATAATTTCTATTTTTAACTGAGAAATTTTTCTGTCAGGAATGGTTGTAACTGTGATAAAAAAAAAAAGAGAAAAAGGACGAGACTATTCAAGATTAGAGTAAAATGTTCGAAAAATAAAAAAGTCTGTGTGTGTGTGAGTGTGTGAATGATAGACTTGCTTCACAAAATTATCGTATAGTCAAATATAGTGCCATTTTTTGTCTCTTTTTACGAAATCAATAATTTCCATTTTTGTCGGAGAGAAATTTTTTTTGAAGACAAAAGGGAAATTATTGAAGAAATGCAATGTTAGCGTCTGATAAAAAAAAAAATTGGCCCAAATAATATATTTGTTTCGTTATCATAATTTTTTTTTATGGATCTAGTTCAAGGTAAAATAATTGTTTAATTTTATGTAAATATTTGGTTAATATTTTTTATTTAAATTACGTTTTCAAAGTATTTTTCCAAAAAAAAAATTTTTTTTCACAACAGCAAATTCTTTACTGATTGGAATAATAAAAATAGATAAGAAAGGTATATATTACATGGGCCATGTGAATTTTAATTTTGTGTGAGAAAATAATTTTAAATTATATATAGTAAAAAAAATGTTTGTATTTATTCGACAAAAAAAAAAAAGATTTTGTATTTATTGAAAATTTTTTTTGTGATGCACAACGAGAAAATCATAATGACTTTTTTTTCCAAATTGATGAAAATTTTATTTTCTCTCGATTTCAGTTGATTTTCAACAAGATCGTAAATTTTTCTCAATGTGCATTAGTATCCAGTTGTAAAGCAAGATCTGGGTTAACCTTTACGGGTGAATGATCAAGTTTTGTAGTACTATAGTTCGATAACAGGAGTGAGTGAGTGAGAGAGAGAGAGAGGCATTAACGTCGACAGTCATAGAAACTGTAATATTGTGAGCGTGATTTCAAAGGTTGATAATGTGTCATTCGGCTGGTTCGAAATGCAACATTATTCCTAACGGGATTTAATAAACGTGGTTTATGGATTCCACACTGTACTTGACTATATATATATATATGTATATTATATATAGTCTTGAAAAACTTGTGCAAGTGAAATGAATATAGCGACAAAGTTAAATGTCAATTTGTAAATAAAAAAAAAAAAATTGTATTGAAAAAAACCCCCGACAAAATTTTCCAATTCTTTTTTTTCGAGAATATTTAAAAAAAGCAATATGGACAGCGAAAACAGAAATCGAGAAAATGAAAAATATAATTGTAAATATTTTTTAATTTGACAATACTGTATATATTTAAATTTCGAATTCTTTTCAATTGTATAATTTGAATTCTCAATGACTTAAATTTCTCGAATTAACTGAAATAATATTGTACATTTTTTTTTTAGTAGTGGCGTTTTAAATATCGAGATTGAGGTCAAATCGTGTGAGATCTCGTTCCTAAGACTTTCGCGATTATCATATTGATAGTCGCTCGACGCTTATTAGAATATAAGAAAAAAAAAAATTCGTTGTAAATAATGTAATTTTGTAAATAATATAAATCTCAGCGCAAAAAAAAATAAACTTTGTATGAATATAGGAATGAGAATGAGAGATAAAAAAAATAGAGCGCTTAATATAAACTCGTATATAAATAAAAAAAAAAAAAATATATTATAAATATATTCCTGTAAATATATTTGCTCTGGCTGTCTATTGTATTTTGGCTCTTTAGTCAGGTTTTGTTGTATAAAAAAAAAAAGTAATGTGAAAAAAAAACGAAATAATCGTTATTTGAAGGAAAGCGGCATATAGAAGAATAAAAAAAACGTTTTCATAAGAAAGTTGCACGTGTATGAATTTCATTATAAACCCCTCCTATATACACCCAATTCTCGTTTATAAAATTATAATCACTTTGAAAGCAAGCAACGGTAATAGCTTCCCGACTTACTTGCCCCGCGTGTAATTCTTTATTGAGCTATTGCGAAGCAAGACTTGCATTAGCGAACTCTTACCTCTTTTCATATATATATATATATATATAACAGAGGTTTTCTTCTCATGAAGTTTACGGAAAGAAAATTACTTGGAACTTTAACGAAACTATATATATATATACATTTTCTTTTCTTCTTTGCGCGCGCGCGGCAAATTTCTTGTCGGTGCAACATTTTTGAACTCTCACACAATTTGCAACTCTTGTTATATACGACAGGTAATAAACTTGGTGAATTCATTAACTCAGAATTCAGTATACTTTCCTATCGGTATTTTTCATTGGAAAAAAAAAAAAATCAACGATAAAGTTTTTTCAAGTATAACGTTTTACCTTTTATGTGAATATATTTAAAAAAGGATAGATTATTTTAATTTAAAATAAAATTTAAATAAATTTTTTGACAAATTATTCCTAACGAGACAAATTTTAATCAATATCAGTTTTTTTCGATCTACAATATAGAAAATTTCCATAGTAACTGTTACCATAGTAACTTTTGCCATTGTAACTTTTGCCATACTAACTTTTGCCATAGTAAGTAACTGTTGCCATAGTAACGATTGCCATAGTAACTTTTGCCATAATAACTGTTGCCCTAGTAACTAATTTTTGCCGTAGAAAATTTTGCCATAGTAAGTAACTGTTACCATAGTAACTTTTGCCCTAGTAAGTAACTGTTACCATAGTAACTTTTGACATAGTAAGTAACTGTTGCCATAGTAAATATTAACATAATAACTTTTGCCCTAGTAACTAACTTTTGTCATAGTAACTTTTACCATAGTAAGTAACTGCTGCCATAGTAACTGTTGCCCTAGTAACATTTGCCAAAGTAACTTTTACCATAGTAAGTAACTGCTGCCATAGTAACTGTTGCCCTAGTAACATTTGCCAAAGTAACTTTTGCCCTAGTAACTAACTTTTGTCATAGTAACTTTTACCATAGTAAGTAACTGCTGCCCTAGTAACTTTTGCCCTAGTAACTAACTTTTGCCCTAGTAACTTTTGCTAAAGTAACTGCTGCCATAGTAACTGTTGCCCTAGTAACTTTTGCCAAAGTAACTTTTGCCCTAGTAACTAATTTTTGCCGTAGTAAATTTTGCCATAGTAAGTAACTGTTACCATAGTAACTTTTGCCCTAGTAAGTAACTGTTACCATAGTAACTTTTGACATAGTAAGTAACTGTTGCCATAGTAAATATTGACATAATAACTTTTGCCCTAGTAACTAACTTTTGTCATAGTAACTTTTACCATAGTAAGTAACTGCTGCCATAGTAACTGTTGCCCTAGTAACATTTGCCAAAGTAACTTTTGCCCTAGTAACTAACTTTTGTCATAGTAACTTTTACCATAGTAAGTAACTGCTGCCCTAGTAACTTTTGCCCTAGTAACTAACTTTTGCCCTAGTAACTTTTGCTAAAGTAACTGCTGCCATAGTAACTGTTGCCCTAGTAACTTTTGCCAAAGTAACTTTTGCCCTAGTAACTAATTTTTGCCGTAGTAAATTTTGCCATAGTAAGTAACTTTTACCATAGTAACTTTTGACATAGTAAGTAACTGTTGCCATAGTAACGATTGCCATAGTAACTTTTGCCATAATAACTGTTGCCCTAGTAACTAACTTTCGCCATAGTAACTTTAATAAATATTTTAACTAAATAATAAAATCAATAAAAATTGAATAAATAATAATAATATAAGATAATAAAAATAATACAAGAAGAAGAAGAAGACGAGAAGGGGTAGAATTAAGAAGAAAAAGTTTGGTAAAGATAAGAAGACAAAGAAATATTTGTAGTATGACTTGGAGCATATAATAGTGGATGGTATGGCGTATCATCTTAATGAATTTAATTAATTAAATTAATTATGAGGGCACTGATCAAAATTGTTTGGCGTGTAAGAAAAAGGTATTTCTTTTTCTTTTCTTTTCTTTTCTTTTTTTTCAATCATTCGCGAGTGGAATTTTAGTAGTTGGAACGTAACCGACGCGCGGTTTGACAAACGTACTGGCAGTGAGGCAGCCAATTAAGCACAAGACGACAGAAGAGATCCCTATAGTCGTTCAAGACAATCATTATTAGCTTGTGAGAAAGAGAGAAAGAGAGAGAGAGAGAGAGAGAGAGAGAGAGAGAGAGAGAGAGAGAGAGAGAGAGAGAGAGAGAGAGAGAGAGAGAGAGAGAGAGAGAGAGAGAGAGCAAAACAGCATACGAGGCAATAACTTCATTGCAATCTAACCGATCAACTCTTTCTCTCAAAGGGGCAATTGATTCCCATGCACTATGATTATCAAAATTAGTCCCTAAAAATACCGATTGCGATCGACAATTTTTTTGTTTACAAAAAATAATAAGTGAAATGAATTTTTTTTTAAAGGAAAACAAACTTTAAATCATATTTTTAAATTGAAATAAAATTAAATAAAAATCAGGGTGTCTACTAAAAATCTGAATTAAAATTCAAGGACTTTTTCATGACTTTCCAGGACAAATTTCTTATTTTTCCAGGACATTAAATTGGATGACCTTATAAGGAATAAAAAAATTTTTTAGTTTAACTATTGTTTTCAGAAATTATTAAAAAATTAATTAATCACTTAAGTAAATTTTTATTTTACTTATTTAATGAATATTTTTTAACTTGATTGACAAAATTATAAAAATTTTTGAAAATTTACAATTCAACCCGCTTTTTGAAAATTTCCAACCAATCAAACAAGAGGACAATGAACTCTGAAAATTCAAGGTTTATGGAAGGTATATATACAGATATTTATATACGATAAATTATAATTATATCGCTGATTGATGAATTATATCAGAGGGGGAAAAAATGGGGGCAAATGTGTTTTTCATTAAAAAGTTGACCCAATGGCCCCGAAATGAAACTTATTTAAAAAAAAGAAAAAAAGACCCGCAGAATATTATATATATATATATATATCGTTTAATCATATCGCACGCCGTTTAATAGGTTCAATTATTTGATATTTTTTTGATCCCAATCTTATTTCCCCCTTCTATATATATATATATATATATCCCTCCCACAAATCGCTCTCGCAAGTATAATCGAAATTGGATTTATTGATCAATAATTGGTACTGAGATTCGATTCTACCCCGCGTCTCTTATATTCATCAAGTTTCTTTGTCAGCTGATTCTCTTAAGAAAATTGATTTCATTTCGTATATATTTATTATTAAAAAGCAAATCGAATTCTTCTTTTTTTTCAAATTAAAAATTATTAAATAAAAAATAATAATTTGCATTATTATTTATTGTATTATACAAATGTCCTTCAACTATATATATATATATATATATGTATGAGAAATTTAGAGAATGTGCGGTTTTTTTCCACAAAGAGAACAAGTCCCACAATCATTTTTATTAACAAACAAGAATAATTCTCTCACTAATCATCATTAACATATATATATAGGAATATAAATAATAATCTTCCCCCCGCATCTATGGGATGTATTTCTTTAATTAAAAATTCATAATTTCCCTTTGTTGTTGGTTTTTACATATATATATGATATAGGATAAGAAAGAAAATATACTAATTTTGAATTTATGTCGCAAATGATAATAATAAAATTTTAAAAAGAAGTGTAACACACATTTATATATATATATATATATATATATATATATATATATATATATGTTGTAAGAGAGATATATACGTAAAGATATGAAGTTTTTCTTAGGTGGTCCAAATTACCCTATACGGTATTCTAACGACATTTTTTTTCTCTGTACGATTACAACTATACTGCTCCGAGACGATGATGATGTAATCTACCCTCGGTCAGCTTACATCAATTAAGGGCATCCTTTTACTGGTTGCTCCCGCGTGCTCCGTCAGCAAAGAGTCACGGTTCCAGTAACTATACTCGTTAATGAGCGCATCTTTTTAGTGCTTCAGTGTTTAATTTGTTTATTAAAAAAAAAAAATGATACCCAAAATTTCAAATGACATAAAATTTTATCGCAATTTGAATAATTTTACTATTTATTTTTTATTTATATATTTATATATATATATCTTCATTTTCCCCCCTTTTTCATATTAAATATGACTATAAATTATTTATATAATTTTTATTTATAATTAAAAATTTCAATTCAGGATTGATAATAAAAAAAAAAAAAGTTTAAAAATAAATATTGGATTAAGGTCGTATATAATTTGTATATCAAACATATATTTTTATGAAAATATAAAGGAAAGAATTTATAATTGAAAATTAATTATTTTTCAAATATATATATATGACCATGAGAATAGCGCGGTATATAAAACGTGGATAAAAGAATTGCACGGAAGCTGATTGATATACAATTATTATATATATACACATGTTTCCCTTTTATAAAGCATTATCAATATATAAAGGAAAGAAACAAAATTAAAAATTCACAATATAATCATTTCGATATATAATACAAAAAACAGAAATTATCTCACACATAAAATCATTGCAAAAATAATTGTTTTCAAATAAAAATATAAATAATAATGTTTTTAACAGCAAAAAAATTCAGGATAAAATGAATAAAATAAATGA